GGTGACGTAGTCGTGGGTGCTATGGTGACGTAGTCGTGGGTGCTATGTTGCCTGTATTACCCAATCCCAATCCCAGTGAAGTCTGTGAGCTGTTGGTTTGAGCCACTCTGTCTTGGGGGGCAACTTACTACAGCATAATGGAATTACATCATAAAGAAGGCCATGGGGCTCCACAGGGGAAGGGCCCTCTTCATGATGTTGAGCACACAGAACCAAATGAAAGAAAGGGTGTGTATGAGTGAGTTGGGGGCCTTAAGACAAAACCCCACGAATTCTTGAATCCCAGAGTCTTTGAAAGTGATAAAATCAGAACCACATGTGAGCATTGCACACATAATGTTTTTGTGTTTTAGTACCAGCACCTTCCTCATGTAGTGGCAATCTCTTATCCCCGCTGTTAAGCTAGCAAAAGCCAGAGACAGGACTCTGTGAGTCCCTCCACACAGCACCTGGCTGTGAGAAGCCATATATTGTGACGGCTCTCCCCAGACAGCAAGAGCAGAAGAAAGGGTTATTTTCCCGAGGGAACAACTTAGTCACGTCTCCCAAGTACAATTAACAAAAGTTTTGAAATCAGCTCAGCAAGTCCCATGAAGAAACGGAAAGTCAAATACTTAGGAGAATTGACATATTAAATAATGTGCCCTAAATCAAGACTGAAGAAGGAAGGCAAGTCTTCCCTTCTCACTCCCTGTTCGTTTTGAAAGATCTAATGCTAATTCCCCAAGTTCATATTCTTAATAATACAGATTATGCCATAACACAATGTGCACTTCAAGCCAGCCTATTGAAGAAGTTGGTGAAAGGTTTTCATAACAGGGAATTATATGCACAAAGAACTCATAATACCCTGTCACTGAATCCCACAACTTACACAGCACAAAGGTTCATGTGCCGCCTTGAATGAGAAAGATGTCAGAGAAATGAAAAATAATTTGAGGGCACAGTGGGAACCCAAATGTAGGGCTCACTGCCCAGAATCTTCCTACAGATGGCCCCACCTCTCAACTTGGAAGAAGCCAGAAGCTGAGAGAGAGCAGAGCCCACACACTCATTTGCTATCATGGAAAAGATGGACAGAGGGTCTGTATCTGTTGCCATGAGACAACGTTGTGGCCCTAACCCACAGAAGCCCCTGAGAGCCTGCGCTGTGTTCTGGGTTCCTGAAGGAGACCCACAACTAAGATACTACAGGGATCATGGCTTGTTCTTGCGTGACTGACTGGTGATGGCTCCAGTTTAAGGAATGGGTGGCACACACGCCATATTCACAAAAGTGCCCGTATCGTCATAAAAGTCTGCTGGGAAACTGTACAGAGAATCCTGCAGATAAGGGAAGCAGTGATGGCCTGGGTACGTCTCTAAAGAGAGGATCTGCCTTGAAGGATCCGCTCCCCGTGTCGCACTGTTGGGTTTCCATTTCACTAGGGTCTGCAGCAACTGAGATCACTACTCCAGCTCTTGGCTCAGACTAGAAATCGAGTGCGCTCCATATACTTACAGGGAACAAGTGAACACACTTCTTAAATGTCAACTGGATGCTCGCTTCTTAGGCTTCTGAGGAGCTCTGGACATAGAATTTTCCAGACACGCTCATTTGCAAAAGTGCTGTTAGTCACCTTCCTGTTGCTCTCTGATAAACCCCCGACAAGGGCACCTTGGCCTATGTCCCACAATCCTGGCATCTCCAATATCCTAAGGTGCCCACTGTAATTTAGACTTTCACCTTTACAGTCTTAGACAACAGCCTCCTGGGAACTCCTTGCATGGATTCCGACCCTGCCACATGCTGCCTGGCCTCATCTGTCCTCTGAAACCAAAGAACAAGATTCCACGACACCTCCAATCTTTTATTTTCTATGCCTACAAAACCAATACCGCATAGATGATGTCACTAAGTTCTTCAGCAAGCTCAAGCTGTAACACAGTCTGCTTGTGTCATAGCTGTATCAGACTGTGTATGTGTGCTGACTGTGAGGAAGTGGTGGGGGAGAATTGTCTGTATTCTGTCAATCATGTTTTAAATAAACGCTGATTGGCCAGGCAGGAGGTGTAGGCGGGAAAGCCAGACAGGAAGTGGAAATGATGCAAGGAGAGCAGGAGGGGAGGAGGAAGTTGATTCCTCCCACTCCTGCCCAGATCACCGAAGCAACAGGATGTGAGCTGCCCCACTGAAAAGGCTACTGAGCCACATGGCTAAAATAGATCAGAAAAATGGGTTAATCAAGATATGAGAGTTAGCCAGTGGGAAGCCTGACCTAATGGGCCAATCAGCATTATAACTTACGGAGTCCTATGTGGGTGATTTTCTCTGGAACTAAATAATTGTGGGGATCTGGTGGGAGGACAGAAAAACCCACAAACAAGCAAGCCTGACCTCTTCATGTTACAAGGAAGCACTCTCCTGGGCTGCTGCCTGTGAGGAGCAACAACCTCACCTTACACTTTCTTCCCTCAAATGACTTTGGATCTTCACATGACGGTGGCTCTGATGGGCAGGGTTTTACCTTTCCTACAGCCCCAGTGACACACTGGTTTCTCTTTGGTGTTGCTGGTCGTTTTAACAATCAGAGCTTCTTTCTCAGCACTGGACCCAATGCCCTCCTAGCTTGAAATTTCCTCTGGCAAATTAGTCCATTTCATTAGATGCAGCTTTTTCCCCCTTCAGGTTCTTGGAACATAGCAAAAAGAAACCAGATTCTTGCCCAAAATATCACCCAAAGAGTTCCTGACTGAATTTCACTCCTATCTGAAACATCACGAGCCAGGCTTCTGCTGTCTGTGTTCTTCCGACAGTCTCATCTTCCGATTCCGCCGGAGTGGGAGTGACCCATTAGGATCTGCTTACAGTATCTGGAGGATTTCTCTAGCCCATAATTCCAAATTCTTCCATATTCTTCCCACAAACCCGTCCAAAGGCTTTCAACATGGTCAGGTTTACCACGGCAACGTCCCCACTCCTGGTACCATTTTTCTGTCCTAGTTACTGTCTGTTGCTGAAAAACTCAAGACAACAGCAACGAAAGGAAGTGATGGGTTATGTGAGCTTTGATTTGAGTATCCATCCATGACAGCGGAGACGTCAATGAGGCAGGAGCTGGTCACATTAGATCCACAGTCAGAAGGCAGAGACTGGTTACTCTTGGCTCACCTTCTCCTTACAATCTTGGATTCCAGTTCAGGAATCCTGACACCCACAGCAGGCAGATCTCCCAATTAATGTAATCAAGATAGTTCCCACATTGGAGCACTGGACTGAGCTCCCAAGGTCCAGTTGAAGAGCAGAAGGAGGGAGAACATGAGCAAGAAAGTCAGGACTGCGAGGGGTGCGTCCACCCACTGAGACGTGTGATTGATCTAATGGGAGCTCACCAAGGCCAGCTGGACTGGGACTGAACGAGCATGTGATCAAACCGGACTCTCTGAATGTGGCTGAAAATGGGGGCCAACTGAGAAGCCAATGGTAATGGCACTGGGTTTTGATTCTACTGCATGTACTGGCTTTTTGGGAGCCTAGTCTGTTTGCATGCACACCTTCCTAGACCTGGATGGAGGGGGGAGGGCCTTGAACTTCCCACAGGGCAGGGCACCCTAACTTCTCTTAGGACGAGAGGAAGGGGGAGTGGGGGAGTGGGAGGGAAATTGGAGGAGGTGGAAATTTTTAATAAATAAATAAAAATTAAAATTAAAAAAGATAGTTCCCAGAGGCAAGTCCATAGCCCATCTCCCAGAGGACCCTAGATCTCTTCTTGTTGGCTATTGAGATTAAGCATCCTAAGTACCTAAGAGACTGGCATCCTCGGGTAAGCGCACCTCCATAACAGACGTGAAGACCTGGATTCTACACGTGTTTCTCCAGCTACTGTGATATGAGCATGGAGTCACCAATCCCACAAAGAGCAGAAATGGCAGCAGAGATGTGTACAGTATCACCAGGCTCTGGGCCAACCCCAGGAGAACTGCTATGTGCTGTACATGCCCTGAAAGGGGAATCAGAATGCAGAACCTGGCAGAAAAGCTAACCCTGGAAGTCAGGCCTGGTCAACAGTTCCCTTTGAAACAGGAAGCCTGGTGACTCCGATTAGGAGAGGCCACAGTGCTAATTAGGGTTACTGTGATGACACACTGGGACCAAAGCAACTCGGGAAGAAAAGGGTTTATTTCCCTCACACTTCCACATGGGTGTTCATCACTGCAGAAAGTCAGGACAGGAACTCAGATAGACAGGAATCTGGACGCAGGAGCTGGTGCAGAGGCCAGGAAGGCGTGCTGCCTACTGGTTTGCTTCTCAGAACTTTCTCAACCTGCTTTCTTACAGAACCCAGGACCACCAGCCCAGAGGTGGCACCACTCACAATGGGCTGCGCCTTCCCACATCTTTTACTATGTAAGAAAATGCCCTACAGGCTTGCCTACAGCCCAGTCTTATACGAGCAATTTCTCAGTTCAGGTTCCCTCCTCTGAGATGACTCTAGTTTGTGTCCAGTTGACACAGAGCTATAAAGTCTGAAGTGGAACTTCACTGGCCAGCTAGTCTAGACAATCTGCAAGTTCTAGGTTCACTGAGGAAACAATGTCTCAAAGCATCTGGCGGCAGGGCTGGAGAGACGGTTCAACAATTCAGAATGCTTGTTGACAGCCTGAGGGTGAGGACCTGGGAGCAAGCGGCACTGTGCATAGGGAATGGGCAGGTGGCCAGCAAGGCAAGGTTCCCAGCAGTCCCCGCTGCATGGCCAGTGTCATCTTCTGGCCTCAGAGTGCCCGCCCCTCTTCTCTGATGGAAACAAAGAGTGGATGCAAACCATACTGCTTCCATGATGGCCCTTCTGGAAGCTATCAGCAGAGGAAGGAAATATATGAGCCTCCAAGTGGAATGTAATGAAGGTTTGGAGACATTACTTGGGAAAATTCTCAAAGTTCAGAAGTCCTGGTACGTGAGAATATATCCAAGAGGCAGAAGGTACAGCTTTTACTACTGCACCAGGTTCTCCACGACTCCACGGTTCCTTCCTACTCTCCGTGGCTACTGGGAGTCTGGATGTGGCTCTTCAGGAGGGACCCATTGACAAGCCAGCGCTACAGCTCCTCAGCCAGCCTAAGCCTGATCTCGTGGGGCGCTAAAATGATCTCTGGGAAAACCCAGTCATGTAGCATCTCTCAGCTGTCCCCGCCGTCCCTGGCTGGACACCACGGCCCTTACCTGATCAGACTCTCAGCTGGCTGCGGCCAGCAGCACCCTTTGTCCCTCAGCTGTCTTAGCGGGGACGGTCTCGTAGCCAGTCTTCCCAAGCCCACCCTTTTCCAGCAAGGAGACTGTGAGAGGCCCCCTCACACTCAGCATGGAGCAGAGCTATCGGGGTTTGTGAGCAGTCAGTGAATCTCCAGCTGGTTGGACGGTGGTGGGTGGGGGACGTGACACAGACAATGGACAGCGGCTAGGACTGCGTCAGGCGTGTGGTCCCTCCGTACTCACCGGGAATAGCTTTCTCGTAGCAGACGCCCTTGTAGAAGCAGCACCCAAGCTCTTTGCACCGGTCCCTGGTGATGTTATAGTCACAGATGTCATAGAGAGGGATGTCACACACTGCAAGGCACAGACAAGCGCTGACTTGGCAGGAAACACGATGGAGGGGGACGGGGCGGGGGGGGGGGGGGCGGGGAGAGCAGGGGAGAGTCTGCCAGATTAACTGACGTTTCCTTACTCCTGTTGTTCATCATGCAAATCTCTCTTTGAAACGAGGATGCAAATTAAAATTTCTGAGCAAAATAATATAAAGTTAATTACCGAGCACAGTGCAAGGGCCTCTGGTGATAAGACATCTCAGCAGGGCCATGCCAGGCACACGGGCTAACACAAGACCACTGGGGTAGCCCGGTTGCCACGTTCCCTATCCACAGTGAGCCACAGCGTGGCCTTACCTAGCAGCATGGGTTGATGATTGTGCCCGAATTTAGAAGCTGAATCTAAAGGAACACACACTGAGGGCCGGAGGAGGGTCCCTCAGATGTTAAAGGTGTTACCACTACTCAAGTTCGGTTCCCAGCACTCGGGTGGGACAGCTCACAACTGCCTCTAAGTCCAGCTCCAGAGGATCTGACACCTCTGGCCTCTGGGGACACAGCGCTCACACCACACAGCCACACACAGACACAAACACATCAGCAGAACTAAACTAAACCTGAAAGAAAACGATAAAAGAGCAGAAGCTGAGTGAGAATTCTGGCCCCTTTCCCCTGGAAGGGAAAACCGTGACCCTGTACTGTTAAGGAGATTGAAGGAAGGAGCCAGAACGACTATTCCATCACAAACTGATTTAGACTTGGGAAATGTGGTGCTTCAGTGGCGGAGGCAGCTGACTGAACCAAATGGAAAACAAGCCACACAGAGGATTCTGTCCAGACCGTGGGCAGGGGTACATCACCATCCCAAGGCTGGAGGGACTAGCCCCACACTGGGGAACACAAGGACAGGAGGATCCTGGGGCTAACTAGCCAGTTAGTCCAGCTGAACTGGTGAGACCCAAGCACAGGTTGTCTCATAGTGTCTGTGCACACATGTGCTCGCATGTACATACATGAACATATGCAAAATGCTATCACCACGGTGTCTCCTTGGTTAGAAGTTACAGCACAGATGCCAGAGTTCACTTCCTGCATGGGGCTCAGAGGACACAGAGCTGAACTCTCAGGGGACTGGAGACATGGAAGGTCATCTTGTTCTCTCTGTGGACACTGTGTCCCTGGGTTCAGCCACTCAGGAAGCGGCAGCACAAGTCATTTGGGTCCCTGAGACTTGCCACAGGCCTCCAAGAAGGAACATGGATGGCGTAGACACAGTGCTTTGCCATTTCCAGAAACAATTTCATTGTCATGGCAACATAGAAGGAAGCAACATTAATTGAATATGTGGATCAACTCCCAGGCAATAGGAGGTCAGGCTTAACAGGCAGACAAAAGCTAAGCCTGATCCAGCAGCCTTGCCGCTGGCCAGGGCTCAATGCCCCTTCCCTGCCCCACGTGACTGGGAGCTCTGGAGGCAGCCTCTGTCTGGCCTGTCTCAGGGAAGCTGATCTCCACTCTCTCATTCTTCCTGTTTTGGATAACCATGCACAAAGCCTATAGAACCTTGCTGGACAGGACAGTACGCTGCCGCCAATCATGGAGCGAGTCTGGAGTACACTGAGTAACCACAAGGTTCACAATGCCTTGGGATAACCGAGAAGATGACTGTGGGCTGCCTCCCACCTGAGGATAGAAAATCTGTGTGCCTGGGGGAGAAGGGACTGACACTCAGCAGGGCAGCTGGAAGGTACACAGAGCCCCCAGAGTTGAGGGTGAGGTGATCAATTTAGCAGTTTTCTCAGACTACCTTGCCCCGAGAGACTCCATTTTACAAGAAACTTTGACTCTATTCTGAGAATGAAAGATGGCTCTATCCCCAGGTAGAGACGTGAGAACAACGCCAATTCATCTAGCGCCACCCACGCAGTGTAGACTAATAAAGGACTCAGAATAGAGAGAGTGTCACTCCAAAAACTCACTGGGGTGAACTTGAGACTATCAAGGGAACTAGGCCCATGAGCTTACAGGACGCACCAGACCCAGGAAAGGGTACGACTTCCTCTCCTGCACCCTGTGATGAAGAGAACACCCTACACTACCATGACAGTGGCCCACTGACCTGTCAACTAACATCAGTGTGTGTGCCGAGGACTGACAGGCAGAGAAACCCCACCTGCCAGCTTCTCTCCCTGCCATTGATGTGGCCGACTCAGTTGGTGTCATGTGGGTTTGGTGTCTATTCTGTGCCCATACTCTCACCTGAACCTGGTCCTCCCCTTCCGCCTGTGCAGCCAGACAACTCCACTGTTAAGCTCTCGAGCTTGTGACCCAGGGCGGGCTGGCTCCCTGAAGCTGATTCGGGTTTATTAGCAATACACACCCTATTTACATTTCTATCAGCCACTCCAGAACCTTCTGGAAACTCTGCTATAATCTCTTTAACCAGTGGTATCCGTGAGGCAATCCACACATATGCAATATGTGGAGCTACAGCGATGAATTTCCTGAGACACGTGTGGTACGAAGAGTATAATGAACCTGTGTTCACCTCAGCCGGGTGGCCCAGGAAAGCAGGCATCTGGTAAAGGGCTGCTTAGATCCACAGCTTGGAAACACCAGAAAAGCAAGACGCCAAGTGGAATCATTCCCTGCCCAGGATGCAGCTCAACAGTTTGCAGATATACCGGCCTGCACCCCTAAGACAGCCTGCTTCCCCAGAGCACAGCTTTCCTGTACCTGAAACCACTTCTCGCCTGACCCCACACACCTGGAGTGGGGTGTCCCAGTCCTAAGGTTATGTATTCAGGACCAATACCCAATGGTTCCCAGAAACCCCTTGAAGAAGTGGGTGGGTCCTGATCCCCACCGCATCCAGATAGCTCCCTGAGGCTCAGGGCCATTTGCAGGGCTGCTCATGAGGACCCTAAGGGCAAGGTTCTCTCACCTTTTCTTCTAGCTGCTGCCTTCCCACCAGGCTGGGCGCATGCGCATGGGGGGGGGGGACCAGAAGGACACTCAATCCTAGCCAAGCATACAAGAGTTGGCCCAGCTGTTTCTGCTTTCTGTGGCCCCAGTATGCCTACATCACCTTATCTTGCTTGTTCTGAGTCCGAAATCACAAATAGTCCCCTTAGGAGACTTCCGCCTGCAGAGGTGCCCCGCTCCAGCGTGACAGAGTGCTTCCCCAACCCACCATGGTTGAGCCTCCCTCAACACTCCAGGCCTATGGGGCGAGCTCAGTCCTGGGTAGATGGTGTCCCTGCAAGGATTCCCTTGGAAATCTCCCAGCCTGCCTTCCAAGGGAGACGAACGAAAGATGGACACATTTCTTCTCTGCTCCCTCCACGTCATCTAGCATAACAGCAATGTAACTGAGGCAAAAGGTTTCTAACACAGAGGCAGAGATAGGGCGAAGAAGGCAGCGGTTCCATCTCACCAGGCCCCAGCGGTGTGATGTTCCTCTGGGAAGACTGTGATTCTAGAAGCTCCTCCTGACTTAAAGCAAATGAAATTCTACCATGTATATTCAGTGTGCCTTCAAGAAAATCTCATTTTTTGCACGGCTTCCATCCCCAAGGGTGAAGAGTCTAATACCAGCTTACAGATCTAGTAGGGAGGCAAGGTACACTCCCTTGTTGAAAAATACGTTTGAGTAAATAAAAAGCCGCTTCTGAGACAAGAATTTTCAAGTAACTGACGAGTATGGCTGGCAGAGAACCCTGTAATTCCGTTGTTCCTTAAACCGATGTGGGAGATCCCACGTTAGTTGCGCTGTAACGAAACTGAAGTCGTAAGAGATTTGCAGTGGCTCCTTGGGTCATTGAGAAACGCACTTCTGTGCCTCCTGTGACCAGACAAACTAGGTCAAATAAATCCTCCATATAAACAGCCCCAGCAGCCTCTTCTATGTTTACCTGCAAACTTCTTCAGGAGATGCGGTGGGGACTTCTTGATTTCTGGGGCGTATCTCATGGTAACAGCTGACAGTGGTGCAGGGATCAATTATGCCTGAAAGACAGGACACCTCAGCACAGGGGACCCCAAAGCATCCACACCTGGAAGATGGGACACCTCAGCACAGGGGAACCAGAGTGTCCACAACTGAAAGACAGGACACCTCAGCACAAGGGGTACAGGACATGTACATCTGGAAGACAGGGCAGGACACAGCACACAGGGGCCTCGGAGTGTTCACACCTGAAAACAGGGCAGGACACTTCAGCACACAGGGGTCTTGGAGGGTTCACACCTGAAGACAGGACACCTCAGCACACAGGGGCCTCAGGGTGTTCACACCTGAAGACAGGACAGGACACCTCAGCACACAGGGGCCTCGGGGTGTTCACACCTGAAGACAGGACACCTCAGCACACAGGGGCCTCGGGGTGTTCACACCTGAAAACAGGACAGGACACCTCAGCTCAGGGTGGTTCTGTATAGCCATCTGCTGGGCATGTTGTGTCATGCTTTGAGGCCTCTTCCTGGCCCCACGGAAGCAGGTGTGACTACCAACCTGTCCATTATCTCCAGAGCTGTGTTCTCTACACTGTCCCTCTAGGACCCTCAAAGTAGGAATGACGTTTTGGGTTAAACCAGGAACTGGCCACCTCTTCCACTCTGTCCACTGCACACAGTCAGCTGGGGGGGAGGGGTAGACAGAAGAAAACCAGTCCCTGCCTGTTGTGACATCATCTGGAAGCTCAGGTTACCAAGGTGTTACAGCATTTCATTCTGTGGAGTGGGTGTGGAGAGAGCGAGCCATGCACACTCACAGGATGGGGAAGGATGCTGGGTGTGAGGTCCTGCTCAGAAGAGTCCCAAGTTCCTCCTTCCCGTGGGCTGCCTATGCAGCATCTTGACCTTGACTACAGATCAGACTTCTGTCTTGCCATGTAATTGCCCCTCGGAGCGCCTGCTTTTGTAGACTCTATGAGGGTGTAACTGTGAACAAAACCAAGATCCCACCTGTCTGTGGAGGAGAGGGAACAAGGCGCCTGTGACTCTATGTCTGCACCCCTTTCTGCTTGCCACTAGCCAGATGTGTCCTTGGAAGGAGCTGGAACAGTGGGCAGCCTTCCTCTGGCCTCCCTGCTGGAAAGTGCCATGTTTCAGTCTTTTCCAGGTGTTGCGTGAATTTCAACACTGTGTCAGGGCTGGGGACCGAGTTGTTGGGCATGTGCCCCCCACCCCCAACTGCAATGTTCTGCAAGGACCTTCTCTGCAACACAAAACTGGGGCTAACACAGGGCTCTGCCTGCAGAGGCCATGCTGCTCTCATTACTTGCTAGCGTAAATGCAGTATTTAATTAACTCGGTTTTATTTGTAAACAAATGTGGTTGGCATTTAATAACCGAGAGGATGTGTAGCTCTTGCAAAAACGGCAACTTTACAAAATTAAAAGCTGTTGGCTGCACAATATGAGGGAAATTAATTACCCTGGGAGTTGTGCTCCCCGGGATGAGGTTGGTGATCTGCTGTCACTTAAGAAAATGCAGCCAGGTGCACAGGAGCAGTCTGTCTTGAGTGTGGAGGGTGGGGAAGTAGGGGTTCCCCTTAGGGATCCCCTTCTTTCAGTCTCTCAAACTGACCAAGAGCAGAACCCTGCCACAGGCAGAGCTGGGGTTGTAGGAGCATCTGGGCTCTGTAGTGGGGACCCAAGTCCAAGGAAACCCAGGGCTCATGTCCCTAGCTGGGAGTGTTCAGAGAGAAGGTATATATGCATGTTGTCAGCACACAGCGCCACCGGCACAGCAGGGAAACTGAGCCCATGGGGCACTCTGAGTCATTCCACAGACCAGGTTTGTGTGGTTCCCCGATGTCTGTCCCTTTACTGGTGACTCCCCTATACCAAGATGAACCAATCATCCTGATGTGCATCTTCACAAAGTTCTGACCCATTCTTGGTCATTTCCTGTAAGCCCCCGCCTTTTCTGTGGATACCCAGGTCCGATTCAAGCGCGCGCTTTCCTGAACTCGAGTCCACGAGAATGGACGATTGTCCTGAGGGTTAAAACAGACACACACAAAAGAGACCTGCTCAGTTACCAAGAGTAAATGGCAACTTTATTAAACTCAAGTCGGGTATTTATACCAGTGGGCAAGGGGGTTCAAAAGGGCATGGCCTCCTCCCATCAGGAGCAGTGGAAGGAGATTACAGGTGCTGCCTCAGGCAGAATCAGCTGGGGGAGCCAGGCATACGGGGCCCACTGCTAGAACCTTGATTACAGGTGGAATCACCATAACAAAAGAGAGCCAAATTCTTCCTAAGCTATACCCTCAAGCCAGTGCTAGTGCAGAATCTCCAGGGAGCCAGAAGCAAGGGGGGGGGGGGGGAAAGACCTGTGTACCTACAATTTCCATCCCTCAAAATCTGCAGAACATTTGAGGTGTAGAACAGAAACAATAACAAACAAAAATGCAGGGCTTTCAAGGCCTGGCATGAAATCAATAAGGCAAGTAGAGGAGAGCTGCCGCCCTTAGACGCCCTTAGAGTCGAGTCTACACCATCACTAGGCATCTGCTTCCACTGCCGACTCCCTCCACAGCCTTCGGTTGTCAGGTGTTCATCTTTCACTTTATTTCTATTTAATGTTTTTGTTACTATTAATAAAAATTGAGTATTTTGTTCCTGGCCTATGGGAAATGGGTTTCAAGACAAAAGTTGCTTCTCACAGCACGACTTCTAACCTAGACACTTTCGCATTCTGTTACACAAACGGTATCACTGAGAGCAGAGGGCATTTTGGTGGGTTTTCTATGACCTGTGCATTCCTGCGCCTTCACATGCCAGGTGGGTACTGGGACAGCAGATGAATGTGGCTCTATTTCTCATCAGAGAGGTTCGCCTTTCCAGTGTCACTAATGTGGTATGTGTTGACAGTAAGTCCAAATCCCTGGAAGCCACACACACACACACACACTGACTGATTTTGTTCATGTTCTCATTTGCTCCGTCCATCTCTGCCACACCAAAGTGCAGTGGTTTCCATCACTGGCATTCTCGAAACCCAATCCAGCGAGTAAGGCTTTGCCTTCTGTAAATGTCATGCCGAACTGTTGTACTTTGACGCAAGAGCTGGATCTTGAAATGAATACAGCTGGGTTAGCACACAACCACCCAGTACTTCCTTCAGCGTTTTCTAGATCTATTGTTAATCATGCTCTTCACTGTTACCATCAAGGTCAGACTGGCTTGGGAACAAAAATGTGCCCAGTGCCAGCTCCTTCCGGTTCTCTGGATTTGTATTGAACGCCACACTTGCCCTCGCTCATACCCGGGAAGGGCAGACATGGAGGAGGGGACATCTTCAGACATCATGATCAATCCCTCACTCATAACCAGGAAGGGCAGCCATGGAGGAGGGGGCATCTTCAGATGGCATGGTCAATCCCTCACTCATACCTGGGAAGGACATACATGGAGGAGGGGGCTTTAGACGCCATGATCAATCACTCGCTCATACCCAGGCCCACGTGTGTGTGTGTGGGGGGGCATCTTCAGATGGCATAAGCAATTCCTCTCATACCCCAGAAGGGCAGATTGTACTCACCGTGATTTCTCTCTTCACATCCCTGCCCTGAGCCACGGTCACCACCGTATCACCATCCTGGGGACAGGGGTGGAGACGCTGTGACCTGACAGAGTTACCGGAAGATGGGGAGCATCCAGACCAAAGATAAGACGTTAAGCAGCACGGGCTTGCCTAGCCATCACAGGACCTTCCTTACAGTCTCCTGCCCTCAGGACTCCTGAAATAGCAGTGAGTCTTGGGGACAACTGTCTTCATCACCTTCATTGGAAAGTCACTTACAGGACAGACCTGTGCCCATTGAAGGGGTGTGTTAACGGGGTGAACTCTGGCAAAGGCATCTTGAAGCCTGGCCTGTGGTTAGCCACAAGGTAGAGAGAACAGGAGCCTCAATGAGTCAATGCAAACCTTCCAACAGCGTCCTAGCAAGGCTAGGAATGCAAATGCTCTTGGAAAGGAATGATGGACCAGCTGGCCTGCCCTCACCCACCATTCCACTGTAACTAAGAGGGGTGGGGAGAGGTCAGGAGAGGAGAGAGCAGAGGCAAGACAGGGAAGGAAATGAGGACTGGCTGGGCAGAGTTAAGGACTTCCCAGGAACAGGGATTCCCCACATTGCCGCAGGGGCAGATGCTGGGCGGAGGAGTCAGACTGGGAAGCAGGAGAGTGACAGGCTCCAGCACCTTTCTCCTCCACGTCTCCGAGAACCAAAGCCATTTCCTAGCATATTTTACCCCGTAAAGCCACAGAGCATCCCTCGGGGTTGTTCACAAGCCATCAAGCCAGTGTTCTCTGATTTGGGGGGAAAGAGAAAGCCCACATGCACACCTCAGCCTTTGCCCAGCGACCGGGGTATGGTGTGGGAGAATTGTCTGTATTCTGTCAATCATACTTTAATAAAACGCTGATTGGCCAGGCAGGCAGGTTAGGCAGGAAAGCCAGACAGGAAGTAGAGGTGAAGCAAAGAGACTGGGAGCATTCTGGGAAGCAGGAACCTCCCTCCGCAGTTCTGCCCAGACCACGGGAGAGGAAAGATGTAAGCTGCCCCACTGGAAAAGGTACTGAGCCATGTGCTAACGTAGATAAGGATAATGGGGTAACATAAGTTATAAGAGCTAATAAGTAGCCTGACCTAATGGACCAATCAGTTTATAATCTTATGGAGTCCTGTGTGTGATTTTCCTTGGGAGTTGCCGGCTGTGGGGTACTGGGTGGGACAGAACCCCAACAAGTCGGCCCACATGTTACAGGGGTAGGCACTTGTGCCTTGGGTTCTGGCACACTGCTTATACTTCCTCCACAAGTAGGATTTCTAGAATGTAAACCACCACAAAAAAGACCAAAAGTTTAATCTGCTTCAAACCAGACCAGTTCAAACTCCTAAGTGTCCAGAGTGCTCAACCAATTACAATACAAGTTTCCAGCCACTTTTGCCTGAAGTAATGGAAACCTTGAGATTTTAGCTTCTGACTTCCTATGGGTTTTCTCATCTGAACGATGGCATGGCTCCCTTAGTAAGACAGTACTGTCCATCTGGGTCCTACAATGACATAGCACCCTTCCAGACAGGTCATCACCATGTCCCATCAAGGTACCCTCACTTGAGGACTTGCGTTCCCCTTCCCCAAAGCCCAGCTCATGGCTGGGCTGGGACTGAGGTCTGTCTCGACCCCACATGTGGAGTGGGTGTCTGGCCCACATCTGTACCCACTGCCTGCAGGCTTGCTTTCTGGATGACCAAGGAGCAATGGTCAGATGCCGACAACCATAAAGCATTGAGGAACAAGACGGGAGTCACACCCAGGAAGACCTGCCACAAATGTTGTACCTGTTCTGGTACAAAATTCAGAACAATTAACTCTCCTGACCAATTCCTTCGGTCCGAGTTCCAGGGATGACCAGCATGTGTGTCTGAATGAGAATGGTCCACAGGCTCAAAGGTTTGAGTATGTGACCCTCAGCTGGTGAGACTGCTTTGGAAGGGTGAAGTGGTGTGTCTTGGTGGAGGAGGATGTGTGCTTTCCAAAGGTTCCAAAGACGGGCAGTTTCTAGGGAGCTCTCTGCCTCCTGCTTGCGGTTAGACACGAGCTCTTAGCTGATCCATTAGCACTTTGCTCTGTGAACTT